TTATTTATAGGATCGAAGCAGCTCAATGTCCAGATGTTGTGGTAGCTCAAATTGACCCAAAGAAGTTGAAAAGGAAGCAAAGTGTGAATGTTTCCGTGAGTTTTATTACCCGTCAGGGACTTTTTTACCACTACAAATTAAAAGACCAGAGCTGTTCGTATAGTATCCAACAGTATGAATTACGATGTAGGTAAGATTTGACTGCCCCTACGAAGTTAGACATTTGCTTGTACTTTTTCCCCTTCAAGGACAGTTGGCATTTACTGCCGCCAAAGAGGCTTTCAGTAACCCTGGCATTCATGGAGATGTGCTCTTCATACTTTTGGGACATGATCCACTCTTACAGAAGAAGTCTTTAAACCGGTTACTTATGCTGTCTTTTATTTTGAAGTAACCTTTTTCCAGTTGTCTTCATAATTGTTGTTGGACTGTTTAATCTTAGTGCAGTTTGCATGTTCTGATTTTGATTGTGTTTTGTATTTTAAGACTTAGAAACCCAAATATCTTACACTTTTTTAGCTACTTGCACACTGTGAACATTTTCATTCATTTACCCAGCACATTTTTTACTAAGCAACTAGGCTGTGCCAGACACTGGAAATACAACAGAAGATGAAACAGAAAAGATCCCTACCCTTGTAGAGTTTACATTCTCCTGAGGAAGACAGGATAAACCAGCAAACAAATTAAATAATTACATATTGTGACTATTGCTATGAAGAAAATTAACATATAATGACCAATAAATAACAGGAAGAACTACTTTTTTTTTTTTCAGGTAGAACTACTTTAGATTGTCACAGAAGGTCTCTCTCAGGAGGCGTTATTTAAAATCAAAGGAAGTGGCAGTTTTAAATTGAGATAATTCCTTTTCCTTTTATGTTCTAAGTAATTCCCTTATCAGATGTTTATAATTAGGAATTTTTTTTTAAGATTTTATTGGGGAATTGGGGGAGGGAAACAGCGTTGGGGAATCAGGGAAGGGGAACAGACAAGTTGCTGTCTTTTTGTTCTTCAGTCTAGTTGTGAAGGATGTCGCTTCACTGGCCCATGTTGGTATTACGATCATTGCCGTCTTCTCAGGTGAGGCAGTTGCTCGCCTGCCATTGGTTGGCCGCTCACGGCAGCTCATGCTGGCTGCCAGCCACTCACAGCAGCCCACTGCAGCCCTACTGCAGCCTATGCCATTGTCGGCTACTCATAGCAGCCCAGCTCCAGGTTGAGCTGTTGTTCACCATCTTAGCTGTAGAGGGCGCAGCGTCACTGGCCCTCATTTGGGATCCGAACTGGGGCCCTGCTGCTCAGAGCTGGCATCCCAAGCCAACTCTTAACCAACGCGCCACTCGGCCAGCCCTATAATTATGAAATTTTAATGTTTCATGTAATTCCTTTTCAGAAGTTTTTAGTTGATGGAAGATGATGTCTTATATACCTGGCTTTAAAAAGTGACTTCCCCGGCAGACAGTTAGCTCAGTTAGAGCACAGTGCTCCTAACACCAAGGTTGCTGGTTCAATCCCCACATGGGCCACTGAGATGCGCCCTTCACAACTAGATTGAAAACAGCTGCTTGACTTGGAGCTAATGGGTCCTAGAAAAACACACTGTTCCCCAAAAAAGTTTAAAAAAAAAAAGTGACCTCACAAAGTTTTATTTCAAGGCAATATGTGATCAGCTGTCAACTGTGTGCTGTTTTTGGAAAAAGTAGACCTTTTAAAGTCAAATGTCTTAAATTATTTGAGTACATTCTAACTATATCAAAATTCTTTATTTGGGATATATCTTTTTTTTTATTTCAAACTGTTTTTGCTATTATAGAAAGGTAGGACTAGATCATATCTTGAGGGCTCATATCATTTAGATTTCTTAGAGACTACAACTATAAACCATTCCAGATTGCTCTTGTTAAAGTGACTATATAAGGATCTTTTTCTGATGTTTTAAACTCAGACATAAATAGTAAAATGAAATGCCTGTATTTTTGCATGAACAAGAAGTACTTTATTTTTCTTGTATAGTCTTAATCATTTACTTTATTCACTGCTTATGTTGAGTTTACTTGGCAGAGGCATGAGATTGTAGTTATAAAACTGACATTGATTGTAACAATTATGAACTGATCTCTAGCTTTCAGGATGCCAACCTGCTCCTGAAGGATATTCCCCCACACTTCAGTGGCAACAGCAGCAAGTGGCACAGTTTTCAATTATTCGACAGGCAAGTGACCTTAATCGTTTCATCAAATTAAACCTCACCCCGCCCTCCCTCAGATTTGTTTCTGTTCTTAGACTTTAGTTGGGAAAATAAGATTCATTATTCTGAAGAATAAAGAAAAGAATATTTAGGAATCAATTACCAAATTATTATTATAATGATTAGACATAATACAGTTTGAAACGTATTTTCCAAGTTGTAGCATTGTTAGAATGCTGTACAAAAGAAATGTTGTGATTTCTTTTCAGTTATCCATTCTCTGAAGATCACTGTCTAACTCTTCTTCCTTTAGAGTGTGAACAGACATAGAAGTCACTGGAAATCACAACAGCTGGATAGTAACGTGACCATGGTATGTATGTAAGTTTCTCTGTTTAAGTTATACAATGTATACCTATTTGAAGTTGTCCATATTTACTTCCAGCCTTTAAAAATTACTTACCTAGTCCATATTATTTTCATTCTCTCCCATCTACCATTAATACTAACAATTTCATTATATTAGTAGCCTTATAAGTATAGAATCAGCAATGCAAGTTTTTATTTTTATGACAGTTTTAATCCAAAGCATCTTGAGAGACTTTGCATGGGTAATTGTTAGGCCTCTACAAGTTTTTAAGGGTGCTTTTTTAGGAAATAAATACATTTTCAGTATTTACAAAAAGATTGAATAAAGGCTTATAGGATTTTCCTGATGAGAGAATGGTGCCAATACCAGTGACTTTTTACTGAAGCCTGTCATGCACAATAGAAAGTAGTATTTCCTACATTTTATCAGCTTATACACAATATTAAGCTCTTTAATAGATACGTTATATCTGGATCACTGAATGAAAAAAGGAGTTGGGAAGAGATGAATACGCTGTTCTAGGGCAATACTGTTTTTGTTGGGTTTTTGTGAGAGTTTTTTGATTTTTGTTTTTTACATTTCCCTCTTTTTTAAATTTATTTTTCAATTATAGTTGACATACAATATTATATTAATTTCAGGTGTACTCCAGGGCAATACTTTTAAACTTTTAGGGAGTCTTCATATTTTTCCCGAGAATTAAATAAAAGCTGTTTATTTTCAGAGGGAAAAAAATGTCTACACACACAATTTTGCTCACAGTTTCAAGTATTTCATAGATTTCAGATTTTAGAAGCTTCCTCTAGGCAATGCTTCCTAACATCTTTTACATGGTGACACACTGGGGTAAATGAGGCTGCTCACGTCTTGTGTAGTCTTCCTGAGACTACCAGCTGAAAGCTGAGAGATTTAATATATGGTCTCTCTGTGTGCTTTTCCATACCAGTTGGAAGCTCTGTTCTAGGAAAAGTATGAAAGGAACTGACATCACTTGCCCAAGGCCATTTAACTCATAAAAGGTATAGTTGGGAGCCACTGAAGTTTGTCTGACTCTAAAACCTTTCACTATGCTGTGAGCCCTCTTAGTGAGAAGGGAGGCGGGGAGAGAGGTAGACTTTTTTTTTTTCCCCTTGCTCAGCCTAAGGACTTTGGGTACATACATGCTTACTAAATCGGAAAAAAACTGCATCAGTAACATTATGATGATATAATTTTGTCAGAAACGGAAATGACCTAACATAATTGATTCAATAAAATATCCATAAAAACTGGAATATTATGTAACAATTAACATGGCAAATATAAACATTATTAAAACAATAAAATGAAAAAATTTTAAAGCACACTCTGGTGTCAACTATGTAAATATCAACATTTTTTTATTGATTTATCCAATCATTTTAAGCACCTGCTATATTTAATAACCAGGATATTCAGTGCTACCTGAAGCAGAGTCTGAGCTAATGGAGTAATGGGAAAAGGCAGGTACATTGTTCCAGGACATTAGGTTTTAACATTTAAGAGTCTCATACTCACCCTGAGAATCTAATGAAAGCTATCCTCAGGGGGAAAAACTTCACCTTTGCAAAGGAATTTGCAAGGTGATGTGTATAAATGAAAGTGATTTTGTAAAGGTATAATGAGCTGAACGCTTCTCCCCACTGGTCCTGCGTTTTCCATCTGGTGATGCAGAATAAATCTATTCCGTCTTTGACTGGACAGCCCATCACCTATGTGAATTATGTAATCATGTCTCCTTTCTTGGAATAAACATACTTTATTCTTGTAAGCATTCTTAGTGTGGGTTTTTTTCCCACACTGATTTCCATCTTTATCATCCTTTTTTGAACATACCGTTGCTTGTCAGTGTCCATTAAAGTGTGATCCAAACTAAATATGTCACACATATGGTGTGACCACTTGGGACTATATTAGTTTCCTGGGGCTGCCATAGCAAAATACCACCAACTGGGTAGCTTAACAAATAGTAATTTATATTCTTACAATTCTTTAGGCTAGAAGCCTAAGATTAAAGTGTCAGTAGGTTTGGGTTCTCCTGAGGCCTCTCTCTCCTTGGCTTGCAGATGCTGCCTTCTCACTGTGTCCTCACATGGTCTTTCCTCTGTGCACACACATCCTTAGTGTCTCTCTGTGTCCAAATTTCCTCCTCTTACAAGGACACTGGTCAGATTGGATTTGGGCCCCCTCTGTAGCCTCATTTTTCCTAAATCACCTCTATAAAGACCCTGTCTCCAAGCACAGTCACAATCTGAGGTACTGGGGGTTAGGACTTCAACAAGAATGTTGGGGGTACATAATTCAGTCTGTAGCAGGCACCACATCTTTGTGTTGAGGTGGTGGGAATATGGAGGAATCCTCATTTCTATTATCACAGTTCAGTATTAAAAAAAATACATAGAAATAAGTAAGTTTGGTTTGTTTATTTTTTTTATTCTAGCCAAAATCTGAAGATGAAGAAGGCTGGAAAAAATTTTGTCTGGGTGAAAGGCTATGTGTTGAAGGGGCTGTTGGACCAGCTAAAAACGAAAGTCC